AAAAAAAAAAAAAGAAGAAGAAGCTGTTTCGCCTTACAGACCTCCCTCCCCGCCCGACACCTGCTCACCGCGTCAAAGAAGAGACACGGTGGACCCACAAGCTGGAGGTTTGAACTTGAGTAAGACATTTATAAAAACCTAGACAGGGGCAGTGTCCTCCCCAGCCCGGGTGCCACTAGGCACAGCACAAGTGACTAAAAACTCAACAGGGGGAAGGCTGGACCCTCGGGGTTTGGGAGTACAAGCACCCCACTTCTGGCTCAGGGATTGGGGCGTGGGATAAACAAAACCTACTTGGAAAAGAGCTGGGAGAGAAAACCAGCAATCGCCTTCTGCAGGGCTGGGGCCAGGGAAGGAGGTGGGGCCAGGGACAGGAGCACTTCACGGCACTCACCTCCCTTGGGACATCGTCAGGGACCATCCTCAACTGGCCTTAAGAGAAAAACCAGGTGGCTGATGGGAGAACCCACAGGAGGGAGAGGAGAAAAGGGACCGTGGCTGGGAGGGGGCACAGGGAGGCAGCCAGGGCACCAGGTCCAGGCAGTGACCTCACAGGACAGCACAGTTTTTGCAGCTTAGAGATCACCCACCTGTCCCCAGCCAGCTACCCATTCTGCTCAACGCTGGCTGATGCAGAGCCACTTTCTGACCCCAAGGGAGTGGACGGCTCTGCAGCCTGGGGCCCTGCCCCTCTCCTGTGTCTCCTCCCTTGGAGGCAGCACGGGCCTCTGCCCCTTTGGCCTTCCCTTCCCGGGCAGAGCCCTCCTGCCTGCAGGCCCCCATCTCCCCCTGCCCCTGCTCTTCCTCTGGGGGAGGAGGCAGAAGAATCGCCCCCACCCTCTTCCGACTGCTCTTGAAGGACAGGCCACTCAATTTAAAAGGCTTCTTCAGAGAGAATTTCTTCTTCTTCTTAGGGGTCTCCTTGGGAGCGGTCTCCCCCTTGGCTAGGGGGTGCTGGCTCGATGGCATCCCCAGTGTCCCCCCCCCCCGCCCCCGCTGCCTCATCTGTTCCATTCAGGGTGGGGGATAAGTCTCCATGGCTTTTCACGAGGCCATTCTCCTGTCCCTTGGCCTTCGTGGGGGGAAGTGCCTGCTGCCTGCTGGGGGTCACTTTGCCCCAGGGAGCCTTGGAGCTCTGGCTGCCCATAATGGGGGATCTGCTGGAGGTGCCCAGGATCACGCCACAGGGGAAAGTCCAGCGGGTGGAGGGTTGGGGCTGGCACCTGGCAGGGAAGGGTGTGTGTGTTGGGGGACCAAGCTGCACCCCTGCTCCACGGCCGACCCGCCAGAATGCCGCCTCACTCACCTTTTCAGAGCCTGTTCTGGTCCCACCTCCTCCAGATGTATTTGTCAGGATAAGTACCTGTAGCTGCTGTGACAAACAACCCACAATCTTATGACTTAGTCTAAGTGATTGCTCACGTGTCCTGTACACCCGTGCAGCCAGAGGACCCAGGTTCATTCCACCATCAACACTTTATTTCCAAGTTCACCCCGGAACTTGGAGAAGCCAATGCTCACCACTGAGACCTGTTTCAGCCACCTCTTCCAGCTGCAAGGGGGCCGGGAAGTGGGATTGAGATGGAGCAGCAATTTTCTTCCAAGGGGAAAAATGAAACATAAAAATGAACAAAAAAAAAAAATAGCTTTGGATCCTACTTCTCCACCTTCCACAGTCTAACCCAACTTCTTTCTCTTCTAGATTCTCCCAGAACATTCTTCTTTCTCTTCTAGAATCTCCCAGAACATTCTTCTTTCTCCTCTAGATTCTTCCAGAACATGCTACCCAGAGACTTTGATGTTTGATTCAGACTCACCACCGAGCTTCCTGGATGGGCCTCTTGAGCCTCCATAATCTCACAGAGGCTCGGGGCAGGGCTGCTTACCTCAGGCTGAGGATTCAGGGTTCCTGGGTCGTCTTGCAGATCTGAGACAGGGCCAGGAATGGCCATTTGTAACCAGGTTGTTAGGGAGTTCAGCTGCCCAGGTCACCCTGGGAAGCACAGAGAGAGTTCAAATGTCCCTTTCCATGGTTGTGGACACGGGGGCCCAGGGAGGGGAAAGGATTCGCCCTGAGCCGAGGAGTAAGTGAAAGCTACATTGGAAGCTGGAACGCAGGAGTCTGACTTTTCATCCTGGGCTCTGTCATAGCACGGGTGTGTCTCATCTGAAAGGCCTGATTGCACACTCCAGGGACTGTGGAGTCAGTCACAGATGACTAAGAAGACCTCAGGGACCAAAAGGTGTAGGCAGCCGTGGGTTCAAACTGGTGTAGGGACTTGAGAAGATGTTACTTTCTCTGAGTCTCAGTTTTCTCTTCTGGAAAATGGGGATGACAATAATACCTACCCCTTAGAGACTCTAGGAGGACAAAATACAAGACAAATGCTCAGAGGGTACCTGGCAAGTCCTCAGGATCATGGGATCGGGTGGTCTGCCGAGCTGAGCGGTTGGTTGTTCCCCAGGTGCATGAGAGGCACCCGGAAGCCACCTCACAGATGAGACTTCTGAAGGGAAGAGTGGGCAAGGCTCCGGCCACCACACAGACTTCATGAAAATCAGCTCCCTGAATGTACATGCTGATCCCTTGGAAACAAGCGCACAGCTTGATCTCAGTTTTTCTCCAACTTGGCACAGAGTGGATTGTTTTAAAAATACTCCCAGGCTGTGTCTGTATGTGCCAGCCCAGACATGCTCCCCGTAACCAGGGCTGTGTGGGCCCCTGGGCTGACGGGGAGGGCCAAGCTCTGCTGCAGTAACAAGCAGCCCCACCTCTCAGAGGCTTTTGAGTCTCTTTCTCAGTCTCTCTCCAAGTCCACTGTGGGCCTCTGCTCAGGTGAGGCACACAGGCGCGCAGGTGAAGGAGAGGCCACCAACTCAAATGTTGCTGTCCTCTGGGGTGGAGGGGAGCAGGCTCTGGAGGGCCTCACTCTGGCAGTTCAATGCCCCCCACCCCCCGAAACGGAGTCTCATCCTGGTGGCACCCCCATGCAGACTCCATGGCACAGAGGCAAATCCTGTGGCAGAAAGGAGATTGGAGCAGGACCTACCTCATCAGATGGGTGTGAAGGGGAACAGATGCGAAGCTGGGGGATGCTTGGGACAGTGCCTGGAATGGAAAAGCACTCAGTGGACCAGGGGGTCATAATATCTCAAAGTGAAATCTGCCTAAGTGTCCATCACCTGAAGGATGGGTGGAAATGTGGTCTCTCCGCACAATGGAGTATGGTTTAGCCATAAAAAGGAACGAAACACCGAGACACTTGCAAGCAGGCCAAGGGAAAGAGCCAGTCACTGCAGGCCTCGTGTGTCGCCTTCAATTGATCTGAAATGTCCAGAACAGGGCTGGGGATGTGGCTCAAGCGGTAGCGCGCTTGCCTGGCATGCGTGCGGTCCAGGTTCGATCCTCAGCACCACATACAAACAAAGATGTTGTGTCCGCCGAGAACTAATAAATAAATATTTAAAAGAAAAAAAAAAAAAAGAAATGTCCAGAACAGGCAAGTCCACAGAGACGGAAGGTAGATGAGCGGTTGCCAGGGCTGGGAGGGAGGAAGGAGCTGGGAGTGACTGGCAAAGAGCTCAGGGCTTCTTTTTGGGGTGATGGGAATGTTCTGGAACTAGAAAGGGGGGATGGTTGGACTACATTGGGAATATACTAAAAGTCACTGGATTGTACATGTCTTTTTTTGTTTTGTTTTTAGAGGAGGAGAAGTTATTTGGGGGTCTCATGGTTTCAGAGGTCTCAGTTCATGGACAGCAGGGTCCCTTCCTTGGGTCTAGAGGTCAGGCAGGACAACATGGTGGTAGAGACGGCAGAGGGAAGCAGCTCACTGATAATCAGAAAGCAGACAAAGTGACTCCACTTGCCAGTCACAGAATATATACCCCCAACTCCCCGCGGCCAAGGACCCTCCTCCTCCGCCCACACCCTACCTGCCTG